TGACCTTGTTTAAGTAATAAGAAAACTCCTTAAAATGTATAATTTCATTGTAAACTCCTATCTATTTTTCCCGCCGCACGCTGTATATGCTTTTCTTGATTATTTTCCCGTCTTTTATTAGTATATAAGCTTAGATGATTTACATACAGGCAGAAATTATTTAGGTTCTAAGTGTGTCTTCTTGAATTAAAATTTAAGTGATATATTTTGGATATTTAAAATTATTTAGTTTCTGTGGTTATATTTAAAGATAAAAAAGAGTTCTATATAAGTATAGTTTAAATTGATGTTTGTTAATAAATCATAAAAGTTAGGTATCATATTAAACTGTAAAACGTTGCTTGTCTTTAGTTTTATTATGCTCCCCGAAAAATTTCGGGGGAGCATATAGTCGGCGCCTTGTCCGTCAGTCCGTCCGTCCGTCCGTGCGTTGGTCCGGACATCTGTCCGTCCGTTGTCTTGTCCGGAGCATAACTTGTAAACCCTTGGAAATAATTTGTTTAAACTTCCTGGTAGAGGGCATTGAGGGGGGGGGGGGTGTATTGTCAAAGAACCATAACTCTATTTTGCCCGGTTTTTGAATTATCTCCCCTTATAGAAAAATCTTGTCCGGGACATAACTCTAAAACTATAAGAGATATCAACATGAAACTTTGTAGGTGAATAGATATCGATGGGTAGATGTGCAGTGCATGAGAACAATAACTCTTTTTGTCCTAATTTTGGAGTTATTGCCCTTTGTTAATTTTAACACTTTGAACTTTGTCCGGAACATAACTCTAAAACTATTAGAGATATCAAGATGAAACATTGTAGGTAGATAAATCTCATTGAGTAGAAGTGCAGTGCAAAAGAACCATTACTCTGTTAAGCCTCATTTTTTAATTATCTCCCCTTTTAGAAAAATCTTGTCCAGGACATAGCTGTAAAACTATAAGAGATATCAACATGAAACTTTGTAGGTAGATATATCTCAATGGATAGATGTGCAGTGCACAAAAATCATAACTCTGCCGTGCCTAATTCTGGAGTTATTGCCCTTTGTTTATTTTTTACTTTTTGAAGTTGTCCGGGACATAACTCGGAAACCATAAGAGATATCAACAAGAAACTTTGTATGTCGATAGATCACATTGATTAGAAGTGCAGTGTAAAGAACAGTAATTCTGCCTTGCCAAATTTTGGAATTATTGCACTTTGAACTTTTTCCATGGACATAACTCTAAAACTACAAGAGGTGTACTTTCCTGTGTCCAAAACCTATTCGGGGAGCATCACCCGGCTCAAACTGGGCTCTTGTTTTCTTATATTACTAAGTAATTATTATGACAAATAGTTATAACAAATAGTTAGTAGTAAAAAGCTTAATACAAAAGGTGAAATAAATCCAAACACTGTTTCAGTGTGGTATCAAAATTCAGTCTAGGAAACAGAAGTTAAGAGAAAAAGAAATTCTACCACATTGCATTTGGCGCCGAACCCGGGAGGGTTGTTGTGTAATGATGTGAACTGTTAATTAATAAACAGTTTTAAAACGTAGATTGCTGGTTGCTAGCTATGCAAAGTTAAATAAAGTAGCTCTCGCGTATTTGTGAAGTGTTATGATTTTTTCCCGCATTTATATGTTAAAAGTGATGTGTTTTAATGCAATGTAAAGTGTCAGGAGCAAAGTGTAAAAAATGTGTTAAAAACGGGAATTGTGTTGTGCTTTCATGGATTATATAAAACATTAAAAGAAAAAGAAAGTCTACCACAGAAACATCATTTTTTTTTAACAAAACATAATTTGAATTTCATATCTGACCATGACTGTCAAGGACATTTACATTCATTTATCAAGGTCATACTTCAATTTTTAGAAATGTCGGTGTTGTAATCAGTGTTATTTTGTCCCAGTATGAATCAATGTTTACCATTATTATAACTAATAATTAATAACAAAGTTATGACAATTTAAGCTAAATTCAAGCTAAATTCAATATTAAAACCTGGTGGCCAAGGTCATTCAAATGTCAAGGTCATTTACGACATAAAAAATATGTCGGTTTTGTCCGAAGTATTCGTTTGTCAGAGAATGAATCAAATCCATTTTAGTTTGTTTTAACTGTATTGTGTAGGGGGAAAACGCGCCATTCTCTTGTTGTAAATACACAATGTTCAGTACCATATACTCACACATTGAAGGGGGAATTACTATAACAAGTGTAATAATTTACGATTACATTTTATGAGAATTTACCTCCCTTTACATCAGCTTGAGAGAACAAGGAAGTTCGTCACGTGATTTTAAACTACTATAATAATGATAACATCTTTATAAATTTCTTTTACAAGAAACAAAACAAAACAAAAACAAAAAACTTAAAGAAAAGTTGTGTTTTGTAAAGTTTTTTTTTTAGACCGAGACTTGTCATCATATTGTTTAAACATGAATAAATTTTCTAAACTGTTATCATTTGCCATTATATATCTAATCTTATAAACGATATAGATGAATAAATACATGTCAGTGGTTTTGTAAGAGAATACACACACAAAAGTAGAGATGTTGGTAAACAAAATTACAAAAATATTCGGTATACATCCGGTTAAAAAAAAAGAAAATGGATCGTGTATGAAATTGTAGGCATGTCATTATTTTATGTATCTCTGAGTGTTATGTAATGGATTTGCCGATCTTGGATTCTAGATTAGTCCTTTTGACAATTAAGGGATTTCAAAATCAAAATACAAAAATTGGATTACCAACAGTATAAAGCCTGGTCAGACAGCACGGTCGTGCAAGCTAACCTGGCTCTGTACTGGTGACAAGGGCTGAACACTTCCGGTTTCAGAAGGTTAAGGATTAGTAATAAATGGGATTTGTATTTAAACCAAGACACAATAAAGAGCAAAGATTCCAAAAAGATTAAAATCTTATGGCCTTGACTTTCTAAGCAATCGCAATTTTCCGGTCCTTTCCGTGAATCTTCGGATAAGTAATAAAATATATGAATAATAGCTGAGGACGTTTAAATTGCTTTCTAAGTTTCAGTTGTAAACCGAATCCGGATTTTAAAAAATACATATACATTCAAACATTTCTTACAATAGATAAGGTTTCAGAGATATTCTGCAGGTTTAAATATATCATATATAACCAGTACCGTTGGCCTAGTGGTTAAGGCATCCACCTTCAGGGAGCGTCAATTGAAGATTGTGTTCGTGGCCAAGTTTCAAACCCTTCTGTTTTAAGTGCCTCAGCTGATAAATGTAAGAAATTCAAAGTTTATATTACAAGGCTTTTGCACCTCAATGGAGTTCCTTTTAATATTCTGTAAAATTGTTGTCTATATTAAACTTATAATTAAACTAATCCCGTCTGACTGATATGTGTAATCTAAAATATTTTCTAATCGGAGACTAAAGTCTATCTGTTTTTCCGTACGCGTATTAGGAACGGATGTACTGTCCTTTATGTTGATCTTTACATAGATAACTCATTGTGAATCTACTGTACATTCAGTAATGAACACGCCGAGCCTGACCTCAATATAACATTCAACATGCCTATCGATGAGCCAACTGTTTGTTGTTGTTGTTTTTTAAAATTTGACTTAATGGGATAAATCTATATCTTATGAAATAATTTCATAAAATCTATCAACACTAAAATTATATTTGTTTCATTATCAAGTGGTTGATTCCCGAAAAATTTGTAACAGAATGTCTCTGTTATTTAAGACACATGCATATTGTACGCAAACAGAATAAAATGTTCCGGAAAAATATCATTTGTTATTTCAAGTAGGTTTTTTTTCCGTTTAGTAATGATTTTGTACATGCGTCATTCGCTTTTATGGCAATTATTTAGAATGTTTACTTCATGCAAGCATTTTGGTTTAAAACTCAAACAATATTTTTGCAGCAGATATATATTATTAGTTATAAAGATTGTTGACAGGTTATATAGACCTATATAAACGGCTATTTGTAAATATAACCCGAGCCGCTAGGCGAGGGTTATATTGCAAAAAGCCGTTTATATACGGCCATATAACCTGTCAACAATCTTTATAACGAATTTATAATACAGCAAGTATCATTCTTAGAGAAAAAAGTAACATTTCTTCATGAATCGACAACAGCCGTCTATATATAACTATATAAATGTCAAATTATCCAATGAAAAGCGACGTTACAAACGTGCAGTATTATAAATAGCTTTATACACTTTAAGAAAAATACACGAGGAGAGAAATTTACAAATACAAAATGTATATACAAAATTCATGCAATTTGCATACAAATACTTGAATTTGTATTTTAATGACGATATATTATAATGCCTCCTACAGATTATTTTTTGGATATTTCAGATTATTCATGAGGATTGTAAATGTCTTCCACTAGCTTAATTACTTTATTTGCTAGTTTGACAATGCCTTTTCTAATTAAAGCACGTCTGATACTAAATTGTCATAAAAGTAAGCATGGATCTGGAGATGTAATGCTTAAAAGCTGGATAATAAATTTTAAAGTTTTTTTCCATAAAATACGTATCAGATAAAACGTCTTTTTATTCCAAAAAACACCTCATTTGGATGTTTCAAAGATATTACAATAGATTATTTGTTGGGCATTTATGCACTATATGATGATGATATGAATGTCAAATTTTAGAGAAAACTAATTTTAAAATATATATCTATCTTTTAGAAAATCAGAAGTTTTGACGTCAATATTGTTTGTTCATTAACATTTTTTTTATCATAGCTTTACGTCTGAAATGAAATATTTGTTGTTGTTTTTTAAAACGTATGGAATTTGTCTCTGTTAAAAATGGTTATAAAAAAGAAATGTAAAAGATGTATTTTGCATTGAAAAGCGTTGCATGAAATATAAATTCCGTAAATTAAAAGACAGTAAAATAAAAAAAAATCAAACAGATTTTATGTACAAAATATAAACCTAACAAGTAATAATACAGTGAATATGTTTGTTCTTAATTTTTTTGCCAAAGTCACGTCGACATTCTTTGTTTTAAAAAAATCAGGTGTTTCAACTTTGATTTTTTTTCATTTTATTTACTCTTCATCATTCTGATGAGGTTCAAAATTTTCTCTAACTCAGGAGATGTGTAGTCTTCCGGCCAGGTGCAGAAATATGATCCATCGCGACTTGCACCAAAGCCGTCAGGGTAAAGATGCCAAATCCCTCCTGGATCACCTCGTACAGTAATTGAGCTTCCTCCATTTGTTGTCGTCATTTTCGCCGGATCAATATCAGATACAACTTCAACGGGAATTTTTCCACATTTTCCGAGTCTGTACAAATGGCGAAACACCCACAAACGCCTGTTATCCATGGTGAACCACTCGAAATTATAATCTGCTACGTAAATTTTCGGAAAGCTCGAAAGAAGGCACCTGGAAAAATGCAACACTTTATTGTTTCACATTAATTCGATAATACTTCTCAACATAAATTCAGATAGACAATGAAAACTTGAAATAGTAAGAGTCTGATTGAGTTAAATAAACGCTGCTATTTTAGAGACAACTGAAGTGTTATATTTTTAAAAAAATACCAAAAAATGACCAATATAATGTTTACGTATTTTCACAAGATGCGTGCACAGTAATTTACTTAAAAAGTAGTCTATGCTAGCTCTATCAGTAACAAGCGATCTATCAGTGCTTCCAGCGCAGTGCTTCCAGCGCTTTGATTTTATTTATAGGCTAAATAATTATGTACTCGTATTATCGGTCAATAGTAACGTACTAAAAACGTCGTAGACAAATGGAATAACAGGAGCTTTAAAGTTCTAGTAAAGGCTCGTCAGCCATTTTGGTTCCTGTAATTGCAAGTTGCCAAGAATTACACGAATTTCATATATGGTTCAATACTACTCAGAGCATCCGGTAAGTTTTTAGGGGGTCGTTGGTTCAATCCTGATGCCATGTGTTATTTCTCCGTGACAAATGATCTAGAACATTGTATCTAATGTACATAATATGAGCCGCGTCGCGACAAAACCAACATAATGGGTTTGCGACCAGCATGGATCCAGACCAGCCTGCGCGTCCGCGCAGTCTGATCAGGATCCATGCTGTTCGCTATCAGTTTCTCTACTTGCTATAGGGTTTGTAAGCGAATAGCATGGATCCTGATCAGACTTCGCGGATGCGCAGGCTGGTCTGGATCTATGCTGGTCGCAAACCCATTATGTTGGTTTTGTCATGACGCGGCTCATGTCTCTCATCGCTGATTCATCAATGAATTATTAGCCGGACACTTGCAGAGAATTCGAAATTGCTAATTATTGGTCAGTTATCAGGCGTAAATAATCTACCATCAAATCAATAATACAATCAATACGGGACTTTGGTTCCGAAAGACTTTTTATTCATTTTATCTGAAGTAGCAGGGCTTCGAACTCCTTGCCTTGCAGTTAGTGCAGACTAGCACTTGGCACTTGCCAGCACAACTGTTAGTCTGGTCCCCTGCCTCGACACTTAATGACGTACTCTTAAGAGCAGGTAATTCCGACTGACACGACATACAGAATTAAAGGTAGGCGCTAAAATGTTTTAAATGTGGGATATACATAAATTATATACACGCACTTGGCTGTAACGAGAAGTAATTCACATAATTCTAGATCATATGATTTGTTATGAGATTATATATTTATTATATAATTATGAAATTATTTTTAGCTTATATACCTTCCCGTGCATAAGTCGTCGAGAGTTTCCCCTATTAAATCTCCTTTGTAAAATGTATTTCGTATCGAATCCTGTGAAAAATTGATTTGTGAAGGTATTAAAAGCATCGCTAATCGCTATTTTTATATGTATATCAAACGCCGTTAACTTATAATTCCGTGTGACGATTTCTCGTTTTATTCCAAGTTCTATTATAGACTTAAAATAGCAGATTTGTAAGTAACGTAGTCTTAACTGTTCCTCGAAGTTGTATGATAGGTTTTAATTTTACAATTTTCAGAAAATATGTACGTCATATATATATTTAGTAAAACATATATAAACGGAAATAAATTGAAAGCTGTAGTTTCCAATTACGCACGCGCATGTAAACATTATGTATAGTTATAATGTATAGTTATAATATAAATATACAAATGAAAGTAGCAATCTAAAAATGAATATGCAAGAATTGTTTTGATTTGTAGAAAAAAATATAATATAATCTAAGCACGAACTTTAATTTCGATATAGCTCACCCAGTTTATTTTCTGCACCAATCCATTATAGCCTTTTCCATTGATCCCCTCCACACCCCACCAAAAAAATCCCCACCGGGTCAATGCGGTGGTTTGTCTTAGCGCAAAATAAATAAATATTAAGTTATTCCATGAGATTGAATTTTCTTCGACTAACAGGAAAATCGGACGAGTGTTTCATCCGTGTGTTTAAAACTTTTCGTTAGGACTAGGCTTACTTGCTGATTTCAGCATATAACGTATTGATATTCAAAAGAAATTCTGCCAAAATAACATTTCAGTAAAAAAAAAATTAAATATTCTAAGGGAGGTAACGCGTACTAAATTTAAACAAAAAATATACATGTACAAGTAAGAATATTCTCCCTTTTTGGTCTTTTACTGAGAACATACAAGAAACATTTATATATGTTCCTAATATAACTAATCACTTAAAATCATTAAACCAGAGACTTTCAATACAGTTTTTTATTTGTTTGGGTCGTCAGACCAAACAAGTAATGGTAGCGAAATTTCAGAGTCTAATGTTGTTAATTGCAAATGCCGAAAGTAGTCCACTTTTTTGAAGCGGTTACTTCCCTTTTGTATGTACACTAAAGCCGAAAAATTCAGGGGAGATCACTGCGTAAAGATGGTCAAAGACAGGCGCATCAATTTTCAAGCAAAGTAATTCCCGAATGGTCGAAGATTTCTAATATTGTTTTATTGTATTTTCTGATCGAAAATAACTAAATACAAAGCGGACATTCAATCTCTGACACAGAAGTTTACGACAAACCTAACAACAAGTAGTTCTCAAAACAGCTTAAAACTAGCGATTTAAAAGAAAGAAATATTCTATTTTGTTACAAGTATCCAACAAATTACAACGCATTTAAAGTTAAGCAATAGCGTTGGCTTATAGAATGTCAATAAATGCACAATCACAAATTACGCGGATGAATATGATTTTATCAATGAAAATACTATTTTTAGCCATGTCGATTACCGAATACTACACAAACCGAGTAGTGGAATATATAGATTCTACATGCCGGACTGTTTGGGCGAGAGGATTTTCGCTAAAATATTTACTTCAATTTTAAACAACAGGTTTACCCTGAACAAAATACCTCGAAATTAATAAGGATTACAAACCCGAACTGCAATGGAAGTTCTAAATTTAGAATGACTTGATATTATTCAGACATTCTGTGTATAACTTCTCCGTGGTACAGTGGTAACGCGTTCGCTTCGTGAGTGAGAGGTCATGAGTTCGAATCCCAGTCGAGGAAACTTTTTTTTGTTGTTGTTAAATTCTTTTTTTTTAATTGTTTTTGTGAAGGAAGTAGCCATGATATACAAGGATAAAGTGTGGCTGTCGTAAAAAAGAACATAAATGATTTTTTGATGCAACTCTAGTTATGCAGAATTCCGTATGTATCAAACTCTGGTGCCTTACAAAAGGAATTATAATACATAAAAATAAACTTATACAGGAAAATGCATACAGATATACAGAACGATTTAGATTGCAAAGATCAGAAAATACCACAGAACTTGCAGCCCTTTGATTCTTTATAAATATACATGCTTATAGTAAGCTCCAGGATTATTTACATCTGTGTTAAACAACAGTTAAAGTCGTTACAAGCCCTAATTTCGAATAAAATGGTTTTCTTCAGGCCGTTGACATATAAATTCACCGTGGCTGAAGAGTTTTCGGGCTCGCTTAGGAAGGGAGAGGTCTGGAGTTCAAATCCCAGTAAAGATAACTAATTTTTTAAATTGTTAAAGTCAAATAAACATTGGATTGAATATTAGTGTTGCAATTAGTCTTATAGCCAATTTACTACAATTAAAACGCTGGAAAGCATTGGTGGCACTAAACATATAATCTCACAACCTGCACCTTTCTTACATTCTGAGACCCAAACAAATTCAGCGCCTTCTGTGCTTTGATTTTTACCTGGGACTTAAAGGCCCATTATGCCTAAAAATGCTACACATGCTTAACATTTCTAAAGAATTAAAATATTGATTTCTGAAGCATTATGTGCCTTTAACGTATTTTCTTCTTAAATCTGTTTATTTGACTTCAGTCCCTCAATTACAAACCTAAAAAGAGAGAGAAGGTTCGGTTGTTTGACCATCAAGTATTTCAAAATTTCGTCTTCTTGTGTGAAATTTCAATGACGATTATCTTAGCTCTTTGCATTGAAAATATTACTATGTTAATCTATATAAACTAAGTGACCCCTAGGGGGTTAGGGTAAATCTTTATCCAAAGGGCATGGTTTTGTATAACTTTTGTAGAGGATCACAACGTGATGTGTCATGCAAAATATCTTAAGTCTGGGCAGTGTACATGTACGTTCATATTTTTAAGACATTTTTTACTAAACAAGCCTATGTATAGTTAGCGACTCCAACGGAGGGGGGGGGGGTGGGGGTTAGGCAAGACAAGAAAACCTAGAAGTCCACTAGGCAATGTGACATGCCAAATATATTAGTTCTAGGCATTGTAGTTTCACAAAACAAGAGGGCAATGATGGCCTTGGATTGCTCACCTGAGGTACACTGTTAGAAAATCACAATTTCTGTAAAAGAGTCGCATTGGGTTCATCTTTTTTTACCCAAATCATTTTTTTTAATTTGTCTACTACTCAATGCTTCATGACAAATATGTAAGCTCTAGGCATAGCAGATTCTGAGAAGATTTTTAAAGACATTTTAACTATGGAAGTCTATTATATAAACAAAATGACCCCCATGGTGGGACCAATTTTAATCTAAGTGTCAAGATTTATGAAACTTTTAACAATATTTTATGTCAAATATCTATACACTGAGCATTGCAGTTTCATGAAGGAGTTCATTGTTTTTCCCCTATATTAGCCTATGTAAACTAAGTGACCCCTAGGGTGCGGCTCTTTTCTTACCCCTGGGGCATGATTTATATAACTTTTGTTAAGAAAAGGTGATGCTACATGCCAAATATCTAAGCTAGTTTCTGAGAAGAGGTTTTAAAATTACATTTTTAAGGTCATTTGAAGCTCCTGTGCCTATGAAAACAGACTGGAACCATTTTTGTAACTTGAGTAGGGGGTCATCTTTAATCATTCTTGTGAAGTTTGGTCAAAATCTATCAAGTGGTTTTGATGGTACAGATTAACAAATAGACTAAGATCAAAATGCTATCAGTGTAATTGACAATGATTGTGGTGTACAGAGTAACAAATAGACTAAGACCAAAATGCTATCAGTGTAATTGACAATGATTGTGGCGTACAGAGTAACAAATATACTAAGACCAAAATGCTATCAGTGTAATTGACAATGATTGTGGTGTACAGAGTAACAAATAGACTAAGACCAAAATGCTATCAGTGTAATTGGCAATGATTGTGGTGTTCAGTTGAACAACTGCTGTGTGGCTGTTACAGTACTGAAGTTGCCAGGAACTCATTAAGTACAACAACAACAAAATAAAAACAAAGAATCCAGTAAAATGTTTTCAACTAATTTTTATATAAACAAACAACATTCAATAAAATATAAAACATCGTTCAATAAAGTGTAGAAAACAACAACAACAACAATAAGAGATCAGTGTAGTTAGTGCATTTCAAACCTTTTTTTCACAGTGAATCTTTTTAAAAAGTTCAAGCAATTTGAAACTTATTTTTTGTTATTTATGTTACTTAAACAAAACAATCGATAAAAACCTATATAACTTCAGTATATCATATATTGCATTATCAGTTACATAATAACTATTTTGATAAAAGCTGAAACAACCACAAAATGGCATTTGTGAAAAAATACTATGCCACAACATTATACAACACTACAAAGTAGGAACAGACATTTATATTTTTTTTTATAGAATTGCACATTGCCATAATACAGTAGTGTCTAGTAAATTTGGGTGTCAATGTCATATTATAGCATGTCTAATGAAAGACAATATGCAGGTGGGTCTAATGTTCAGATACAAAGGCCATAATAAATAGACTGATTCAGAAGACTTCACATTTCCAAGAAAGTAGTAAATTTAGCCAAAATGTAGAATATGTACATTTATTTAATTAATATTACCCATGAAATATGGTGATATATCAGCCAAATAAATATCATATTTGTGAAAAGCAAAAATGACAAATAAATATGAAAGTGGGCAGAGCCAAAACTACCAAGACCTAGCAGACTGATATATATTTGTAAAACTGTGCAGTGAAAACAAGAAACTATAACAGAGCCTTGTTTACTGCAAATATGTTAATACAACAGTGCACAAAAGGGAGATAATTCAGTATTAAATGATGCTTACAATATGCATTGGCTAATTAATTCATAGTCCCTGGGATCTTTGGTTGTTTCTGTAAAATGCCATACATGCATTTATCCAATCTCATAAAGTCAAACCCTTTGACTTAAATCTTCAATTTGTGATCCATGTACTTGTGAAATTTAAGCCCTTGCAAAAATTTCTGATTTAACTGTGATTTTCATAATTTGGTGTAATTAAAATGTTGAGTCACAATGAGTGAGACAAAAAACAGGATTGGAGCACCACAATAAATACGGTATTCGGGTATATACCGGACAAGGCGCTTGAATGGTAAAATACTAAAATCTTGCCTTTTTACCCAACGGAATGAACTTGAAAAGATCTAATTCATCTTTACACAACAATTTAGGTATGATAATGAATGAAAAATGTAAAAATCGGCGAAAAAAACCCTGATATTTGTCTATTTTGTGATCATGATTTCTGCAAGCATCTAGAGGTACTGCTCCAATCCTATATTGAGTTAAATCCAGTCACAATTGCTTATATTTCTTCCCCATTTATAAAACAAACCACTGTTTCTGCTTGTGTCTCTATATCTTCCGTATCCATGGTAATGGGATCTCTCGGTTCCATAATCACTCGGAAAGACTTCGGTTTTAGCACAAACCCGTTAAACTCTCCATCAAGGTCTGCTGTATTCGTATGTTTGAAGCTGAGTTGATGAAGAAGATGGGTGGCAAAGATAAATAACATGATGTCAACTAAACTTTCACCCGGACATGAACGGAGTCCATCACCAAACGGTAAATAGTGGTCAGGAATATGTAAGGCACCGTCCTTCAGAAACCTTAAAACATCAAAGAAAGAATTATGTGTTCTTATATGCTTTAGAAACCTTCATAAATCAAAAAAAGAATTATATGTACTTATATGCTTTAGAAACCTTCATAAATCAAAGAAAGAATTATATGTACTTATATGCTTTAGAAACCTTCATAAATCAAAGAAAGAATTATGTGTACTTATATGCTTTAGAAACCTTCATAAATCAAAAAAAGAATTATGTGTACTTATATGCTTTAGAAACCTTCATAAATCAAAGAAAGAATTATGTGTACTTATATGCTTTAGAAACCTTCATAAATCAAAGAAAGAATTATGTGTACTTAAATGCTTTAGAAACCTTCATAAATCAAAGAAAGAATTATGTGTACTTATATGCTTTAGAAACCTTCGTATATCAAAGAAAAAATTATGTGTACTTATATGCTTTAGAAACCTTCATATATCAAAGAAAGAATTATGTGTACTTATATGCTTTAGAAACCTTCATAAATCAAAGAAAGAATTATGTGTACTTATATGCTTTAGAAACCTTCATAAATCAAAGAAAGAATTATGTGTACTTAAATGCTTTAGAAACCTTCATAAATCAAAGAAAGAATTATGTGTACTTATATGCTTTAGAAACCTTCGTATATCAAAGAAAAAATTATGTGTACTTATATGCTTTAGAAACCTTCATATATCAAAGAAAGAATTATGTGTACTTATAATTATGTACTGAGTTACAAATGAATGGGTTTTCAGGGCTCTCAATTCATAAATATTTTGGTACCAAAACCCTCCCTTCAAAAAGTATATATTTTCCCGGGTTTGCCTAAAATACGAAAGTGAGATTTTTGACGAAAGTGAGCAAAAGTGACTTTTAGAATTTGAATTGTACCGTTTTAATAGAATTTTACAGTAAAATTGCTATTTGCAGACGTATATTATTAGCAACTGATTATATATATTATAATAGATAACCATAATCATGATTTAATCGCCATTTATTTGCCTAATTGCTATATACAGGTAAATCAGCGATCTTCATTTCGCTTGCATAGAAAAATACGAAAGTGACTTGTAAAGTATTGGATATAGAGTTTAAATTGAAAATGTACTAAATTTGCAGTTTATAGACAAGTATTATAAGAAATTAATATTATCAGAATTTAATAATTTGATATTCAACACTATATTTCAATTTAACACTATATTTGCTATTTTAGAAGTCACTTTCGTATTTTCTATGTGAGCAAACGGAAGATTGCTGAACTTAGAATATAGAAATTATGTAAAAAAAAAAAAAGGTATAAATCATCATAATGATTATTTTGAGAATAAATAATATTAATTTCTGATAATATACGCCTGAGAAATGCAATATTAGTATAACTAACTTTCAATTCAACGCTTTATTTCATATTTCACAAGTCACTTTCGTATTTTCAATGTGAGCGAAAGGAAGATCTCAGAAACTTGTGTATAGAAATTATGCAAAAAAATGTGATTAATCGTCATAAAATGATTATTTTTGAAAATAAATATTATATATTTCTGATGATATACGTCTACAAACTGCAATTTAAGGTATTAATTTCAATTTAAACTCTAAAATTTAATATTTTACAAGTCACTTTCGTATTTTTCAAAGTGAGCAAAAGGAAGATCTTAGAACTTGTGTATATAGAAATTATGCAAATGAATGGCGACTAAATCGTCATAGTGATTATTTTTTAAAAGAAATATTATTAGTTGCTAATAATTTACGTCTACAAACAGAAAAATCACTGTTTACAAAATTCTATTAAAATGGTCCAATTCAAATTTTAAAAGTCACTTTCGCTCACTTTCGTCAAAAATCTCACTTTCGTATTTTAGGCATACCGTATTTTCCCTGCACCTATCATATTGAGATGACTTTTTGCAGACTAAAATATATAATAAAACATTAAATAATGTCAATCTTGCATGTACAAACAGCAAAAATTGCCTGCAATTCCCCCTTTCAGAAAACAATGTGAAAATTCCCTGTCTTACAGGTACTGCTTCCCCTTTGACAGAGATAAATAGTCCAGTATTCTATAAATAGAAATTTTGGTGTCATAAAAATGCCTCTTAAATTACTACAACAAAAGGGTCATGAAGGCCTTGACATCGCTCAACTGTATAAAGCCCTGGGCCAAGGCCAATTTTAAACCAGGGCTTTTATTTGAACAAACTTCTTGGTAGACACCCATTAGAAGATGTTTCATGATAAATATCTAAGCTCTAGCTCTTTGGGGTTGTTATAAGAAGATTTCTTTCTTAAGTTTTTACTTTATACATATATGGAAAAACAATAGCCCCCACCCCTCAGAGGGGCCAACAAACTTGGTAGACACTTGCTAGAAGATATTTCATGCTAAGTATCTAAACTCTAGCTCTTTGGGTTTTTTATCAGAATTTTTAAAAGTTTTTACTATAAACAATAAGGAAAATAAGTGACTCCCAGGGTGGGGCCAAAATTTAACCCAAAGGCCCTTATTTGAACAAACTTGGTAAAAAAAAAAAAAAAAAAAAATATTATTATTATGAGAATTTTTGTATCATATGTGCAGATCCATATTATATGTGTAATTTATTGTATATTGCTGTATTTATATTTTTATGAAAGATTCTGTATTTATTTGACAAAGTTTTTATTCCCGCGTAAACATCTGTTCTGTTTAGCGTATACTTAAACGGACGTTGCGTCATTTGTCATTTGTTATGTTATAAACGTCAATTTTTTCTGAAGAAGACTAAACGTCGAAAGCTTAAGGAAAGCGTTTGTTTGTATTGAACTGATTATATAAACAAACTTGGTAGACACCCATGAGAAGATGTTTCATGCTAAATATCATAGCTCTAGCTCTAGGGTTTTTAAAAGAAGAATTTTAAAGTTTTTACTATATACATAAAGGGAAAAGCAATGACCCCCTTGGGGCTGTGCCAATTATTACCCCAGAGTTTTTATTTGAACAAACTTGGTAGACACCCTCTAGAAGATGTTTCATGCTTAATATCTAAGCTCTAACTATCTTGTTTTTTTAAAAAGAAGATTTTTAAGTTTTTACTTTATACAAATAAGGAAAATCAATGACCCCCTGTGGAGGAGCCAATTTTTACCCCAGGGCTTTTATTTGAACAAACTTGATAGAGACCCACTAGAGGATGTTTCATGCTTAATATCTAAGCTCTAGCTATTTGGGTTTTTTTAAAAGAAGATTTTTTTTCAGTTTTTAATATATACAAATAAGGAAAATCATTGACCCCCGGGGCAGGGCCACTGACTAGACGATATTTTATGCCAAATATTTAAGCTCAAGCTCTTTCGGTTTTCTAAAAAAAGATATTTTACATTTTTTATTTCGGTTACCATGGCAACCAGAGTTCTGCCCGGAATTAAATTCTTTGAACAATTTTTAAAGTTGACTACCATTTTAAGGAACATTCCTGTGAAGTTTCGATGAAATTGGCTTTGCGATTTATGAGGAGATGGCGTTTAAAGTAAAAGTTTAAGGCCGGACGAAAAGCGATCACAAAAGCTCACCATGTCACTTTGTGACAGGTGAGCTAAAAAATAGATATTGGAAAATCATTTATTTTTTGCCAAGAATTAAGCAATCAGACAGAAATTGAAAAAGACAAATGTAATTCTTAATAGCCAAAAATAGTATTAAGACAATTTGATTGAAAGTTAATTTTAGCCATCATTTTTAAAATTGAAAAGCAATAATCATCTATAATAGAATTAACAAAATTGGGAAAAAAGTTATTTATAGCTAGAACTGTCATTGATTCAGTGCAAAGCATATTGACGATACATCAATATCAGATGACAAATATTGGCGATACACCTATATATTGATAAATACCCCTAATTTTTTTGCATATAATTAACTGTCATACCTGTTTAAATGATTTTAGTTAAATACATGTTCTGTTTGTACAATTACATGACATTGTATGTTGTGTCTTGTTTATAAATGTCCTTTACATGATTTTTTTTTTCTTACTATTTTTTGTCATCACTGCTGAGAAATGTAACAACAGCTTTAGTTAGTGTTAGACATGGCCTGGTTCTTTTGTATATATTCTGAGTGAATTTTCATAATTCATATACTTAAATAAGTAATCAAAATTATTGATTTTTTCATATGTGTATCGATTATTGATCTACAGAAAAATATCCACGATATATCAATATCGTCTCTATTGTTGACAGCTCTATTTATAGTTTTATTATACACAAGAAAAAAGTTTACCTGTCTGGATCAAATTTCATCGGATGTTTCCAGTGTTTGGGATCATGATGAAGGCTCCAAAGATTAAACAGCATGATAGTGTCCTTGGGAATCTGATATCCTAGTTGTGAAATAAAAATCAATATACACTTTATCACATTAGCAAATTGAAGTGCCACTAATAGGTGATTTATTAGTTTAGTTTAAACATATTTATTCAAGCTTGTTTTAGAAACAAGATCTTGCAACTTATATTAAATATTAATATTATTAATAATTCAGGTCCTTTTCATGGAACCAACCATTACTGGTGTCATATGAAATAACATGGTCGTGAATCTTAGTAGGGCTCAATGAACCCATGATTCCTGGGTTGAGAGCCAGACACCTTAACCACTAGGCCATTGCTTCTTTTTATTGTATGATTGTATGATTTATTGTACATAGGAGGGTTAAGAGCTAAAAATTTTGGCAAAAAAAGTGGTCCAATGCCACAAGTGTAGGTTAATAATGAAGTGAACAAGAGCCATGTCAACATGGCCATTCCCCGCCGAATGGGTATGCTCATTGGAAGAATGTATATGTAGTAGAGCAGAATAATTCAATTTTAAGAGGTCTTTTGGTAATGAAAACTAATGGCTGAAGTGATTACAGATTTGAAACCTACGTGAATACTGATGGCTGAAAATAACAAAGGGCAATAACTGAAAAATAATGCAGGGTAGGTTATCATTCTTGTGTGCTGCACCCCTCCTCAGTAAAATCTATCCACCTATGACATTTCATGTTGACATCTCAAACACTTTTGAGTTATGCTCCACTCAGGTGAAAAATTAGGTATGAAAAATAACAAAGGGCAAAAACTCAAAAATTATTAAAGGTAGAGTTATCATTCTTGTGCACTGCACACCTCCTGAGTGCGATCAATGCACCTATGAAATTTCATGTTGATATCTCAAAGGCCTTTTGAGTTATGCTCTGGACAAAAATTAATTTTGAAAAAATAACAAAGGGCAATAACTTAAAAATTATGCAGGGAAGAGTTATCATTCTTGTGCACTGCACTCCCTCTTAATGAGATCCATCTACATATAAAGTTTCAAGTTGATATCTCAGATATTTTTTTTAGATAAGCTCCGGACAAAATGGTATGAAGAAAAAAACAAAGGGCAATAACTCAAAAATTGTATAGGGAAGAGTTTTCATTCTTGTGCACAGCATTCCTCCTCAATAAGATCTATCAACCTATGACATTTCATGATGACATCTCAAACACTTTCGAGTTATGCTCAACTCAGGTAAAAAATTAGGTATGAAAAATAATAATGGGCAATAACTCAAAAATTATGAAAGGTAGAGTTATCATTCTTGTGCACTGCACACCTCCTGAGTGCGATCTATGCACCTATGAAGTTTCATGTTGATATCTCAAAGGCCTTTTGAGTTATGCTCTGGACAAAATTAATTTTCAAAAATAACAAAGGGCAATAACTCAAAAAGTATGCAGGGTAGAGTTATCATTCTTGTGCACTGCACTCCTCCTCAATAAGATTCATCCACCTATGAAGTTTCAAGTTGATACCTCAAATATTTTTTTAGATAAGCTCCGGACAAAATAGTATGAAAGAGAACAAAGGGCAATAACTCAAAGATTATATAGCGAAGAGTTATCATTCTTTCATTCTTTGGCACAGCATTCCTCCTCAATAAGATCTATTCACCTATGATATTTCATGTTGATATCTCAAACACTTTCTGAGTTATGCTCCACTCAGGTAAAAAATTAAGTATGAAAAATAACAAAGGGCAATAACTCAAAAATTATGAAAGGTAGAGTTATCATTCTTGTGCTCTGCACACCTCCTGAGTGAGATCTATGCACCTATGAAGTTTCATGTTGATATCTCAAAGGCCTTTTGAGTTATGCTCTGGACAAAAATTAATTTTGAAAAATAACGAAGGACAATAACTCAAAAATTATGCAGGGAAAAGTTATCATTCTTGTGCACTGCACTCCTCCTCAATGAGGTCTATCCACCTATGAAGTTTCAAGTTGATATCTCAAATACTTTTTGAGATATGCTCTGGACAAAAATGTCGGACGGAAGGACGGACGGATGGACGGACGGAGACTATTTCTATATCCCCCGCCGCCTTTTCGGCGGGGGATAATAACACAATTGCGTGATTTCGATTCTATTGATTGCACTGAAGCAACAGTTGGAAAATCCCAGTATATGACAGTGATGCTGACCAGTGTAGCACAGCATGATCTAATGGAATTTTACCATAAGATCCTATAGAAGAGTTCATTCAGAAATACGATATGGTTACAAAAGGTTTTACCTTTTTCTTTTCCTTTTTAAAGGGGAAATGTGAGGAGGGTTAATCTGGTCATGTTAATGCCATGTGATACTGGTTAAGGAATAACTAAGCCGCTATGCAGTGAATTATGTCAGAAGCACAGGTGGGCTGAGGGGGTTCAAACCACCAATCTTCCATAAACTATAAGGATAGATATGTTGCATAACAGAATCAAAAGGCCCTTAAAATATACGCACATGGTGAGGGGCAAGTGATTTCTAGGTAATGACCGAATTTTGAAAAAGAAATCAATGGTTGCTACACTTATAAAAATAATGATAAACAATTATGCAAAATTAAACAAACCCATGAATGAAGTATTTTCTGTGGTGGAATGCGGATACATAAATGGCATCACAGTGGCAAGCCTCTGTGTTTCCATGATCACAGCACATGTATAGGGTAGGTACGGTTGATCTAACAGATACGGCAGCCGATTTTTACCAACTACCGACATCAACTCATCATATACCTGTTAAAATATATAACATCAGAACAGAACAGAAACGTTATTACTTGGTTTAAGCATAAAAAGCTCATCACCATATTAAATATACAAATACAACATAGAATACATAAATGACACATGACATGAATATATATAATTACAAAATAATGGTTTAAAATAATCCTTTACCAGTTAAAAATGAATCCGGGTCAGCTCGGCCCTAAAATGTACTCGGCCCCCGAGTCAGCTTGGCCCTATACCAACTAGGCACGGGTCAACTCGGCCCACTTTTCAATTATTAATATTAAGGTTTGTGTTATCACTATTTATTGTATTATTGTAATTATTTATAAATATAAATATAATACACGGATTGACAGTAACGAATTTTTTTTATGATAATCTTAATTTTAAGTTTTTGACAATTACAAACAAATTAAATAAACGTCAATTTTTCTGAAGAAGACTAAACGTCGAAAGCTTAAGAAAAGCGTTTGTTTTTATTGAACTGATTATATATTAAAACAAATTAAATGAAATTGGTAAAAGACGTTAAAGGACTCCTATTGTCACAGGCTTTTATTATCAATCAATTATCAATTAGGTGATAATTATGATTGAATCATTCATTCAAATTTGATTAGTGGCCACCTGCATTTAATTAGCCGCTTATGATATTACATACCTAGGAAAAAATTTATTTTTAGCCTACTTGACCTTGACCTTAATCAAATTGACCTCCAAATTTCCATCCATGGAACTGGTACCAACACAACAAATATTTAAGATTTCAGTCAATAAGGGACCTCTGTTGCCAATGATTATTTGTATTGTTGGGTATTAAGTAAAGCCAACACTGAATAAACAATATAGAAACTTCCCAGCATAACAGATGGAGGAACACTTCAAGTGCCCCTCCATGTATCATTTCGATCACCTAACCAAACTTTAATGAATCTCTGACATAAATAAATATAATGATATATATAAAACTCATATCAGGTATTAGATACAGTTTCATTACAATGCAAAAATATAACATATAAAGAAAAAAAATCTGACTTTTCCTTGAACGTCTGGTATCTCTGATATATATAAGACCAACCACTGTAGTGTAGCCGCTACTTGTCTGTATCCAGACCCACACAGTTCAACAAATAACGCATCCAGTTCATCTTGATCCAGCTGACCCATATCATCATATCTCTCCAACATTACCTACAAAAAAACAACAGGTCTGTCATTTCAGGAAAAATTTAAAATTTATTGATATATCTAGAGCCAAAAAGTGATGATATATTGATACTAACTGGTTACTTACATCATGTCTATATACATGTACTTATAAATGAAATATTGATAATTAAATATCATTGAAATAAAATGCGTATTTTCATTTTCCGTAATTTCACATTTTTATTTCCAATTTATTTTACAATTTGTATATGAAAATTTTGGAGAGATTTTTATTAGGAATTTTTATTTAAGTCTTTTTCTATCAATACAAAATTTATCTTAATCAAGTGGTATGAAAATTAATATTTCATGAGTGGCAGTAGCCACAATTGATATATGATAATTTTCATATCAAAAGGTGGGAAAAAAATCCTGTATTTATAGAAAAAACCTGATTTTTCTGTTTAAATTATATACATTTTTCTCTTTTTTTTATATTACAATTTGGAAGTCCTCCCCTTAAATGTTAAGTATTTCATTAGTTTAGTAATCATTCACACTAGCTCCAGGCTATATTATTTACCCAATTTTCATGATATTGGGAGGTCTAACACATTTTACACAAATGTATGTACAATTATTTCTATTTTACTGTTACCATGGAAATATGACATTGTCTCAATGTCTCTATTTACAAGGCCTGAGATAATTGGACTTAATTTAGCAGTAATTTCTATCACATGTGTATGTCAAAATAACCTCCCTGATGAATAATTGATGACTTACATCATGCCCATTATTTACTTGACATTATAGAATACTATATGTGACATAATGCCTAACTAAAGTTATTACTAAATAGTAAACATTATTTTACATACAGTTCAACAGTTGTCAACCTTAGCTTTACTTTTTTTTTTACTTTTTTATTTATTAATCTATGAATTTCATTTTTTTAAATTAAGAAAATGTATACATACATACAATTTTTGGTTTAGGAAATTATACTTTAATCATGATTGGACAGATTTCTAAGAGATATCACTTTAAAGCATATATCATAAAAGATTATCCAATATTATTTTAAGCACATTATGCCTTAGAAATCCACATTTTTAAATTTCTTTAGAAATGCCAAAACATGATTCTTATAATGTTTAAATCATGGATTTTAGGGCATGTTAGATGTTTTGCAACTGAACATGTTGTTATGTGTCGTAAAGGTAGCAAAAATGTTAACGAAGTAGTATTTGGACTTCAACACAAAATACTAATTCACTATACATGTAATTATACCACAGATTTATTGTAATATAAATCTGTGATTATTCTAATTGGCAACAGAGCTAAAATACTAAAGATAGTTGTTCAGGTATATAGCAAATGAGTATATTTTTAGAAACTGTAACAAGATACCCAAAATAAACAGTTTTTGAGAAGTGAAAATGATATAATTTTTTTCAGGCATAATGGGCTTTTAATTAAAAGCTTAACCATAAAGTAAAGTTTGAAGTTTATTTATTGTTCACAATTGTCAGCTTCCTGCAACTGATCAGAACTGGTGTCAAGTCTGGACCTGTAGTCATGACACAATTAGAGCTCAAACCCACAACCTCTGGGTTGAGAGGCACACACCTTGATTGTCTTCAAGGTTACTGTTACCCTTATAAACCCATACTAAATGCATTTTTTTTCAAGGGCCATAAATGAGCCAAATAAAAGATAAAACTTAACTGGAAAACCCAATGTTATGCACAAGTACTTGAGGTACAATGCATTGATCAATCTTGTAAAGTTTCACTCAAATTGCATTAGTTGAAGAAGAGAAGTAGTTTGCACAAGACTTTAAAAACAAAAATCATTAAAGGGCCATAACTCTGAGAAAAATGTGATTGGGAGAACTAGACTCAGTGCTGATCATTCCTGTAAAATTTAGATGAAATTGCACCAGTAGTTTTTAAGTAGTCCAGACAGACACACCACATAGAAGTACTGAGTGTAATCTCTACTCTGTATTAGACGACACCAAAAATTAAGCTCCAAACAGTATACAGCCAGTGATCAGACAGCATGGTTGTGTAGACTTTCCTGGCTCTATCCTGGTGGCAAACTTTAGGTTCCAGCAGGTTAAGGTTAAATGCTTAAAGTTTTTTATAAGATTTAATAAGATTTAATATACATACCAGGCCATGATCTATGACATCACTGACTATCTCTGGGTTGAAGCAATCTTTATGTCTATAAATAGAAATGATGAAATAATCTTTGGCCATATAGATTCTGAATAATTATTTTTAAACAATTATGGTTTCTATGAATAGGAACAGAATTTACAATTTTTTGGCATATAGATAGAAATTGAAAGAAATATTTTTACAATCAGATATTTAAACAATCTTTGGGCTTATATATAGAAAGAAATTGGAACAATCCATGTTTAAAATAGTAACTGAAACAAACTTGGTGCCTTAGAACAGCACGCATACAAATTCATGCTAATTTTCATGAAAATTTGAAAATGTATATTGTGAAGTAACCAAAAGGAAGCAATTAATACATTTTCAATGCCACTTACAACCAACATAAATTACTAAAAAGTGGTCAAAATATGCATAAATAGCCCTTACTGTTACGCTGAGTATGTCAGTAACGCAATAGAATTATAGTTGTAAATACTGAAAATTCTGTCATTAATTGCACAGAACATGTAAAATATTACTTGAATCTTTTTACATATCCTAAAATTTTAGTACATTTTTATCAAGTTTGATTTTATTGAAATATTTTGACTCATCTGGAGGCAAGCAGCTTTAATACCATACAATAAAATTAATGCTACCATATGAGGACTTTCATTCTTGTTTGTTTCATTTTGGTTCGGTTTTAAGTCGCACCAACAGAGTATAGGTCATATGGTGACTTTCTAGCTTTAATGGTGGAGGAAGACCTCAGGTGCCCCACTTTGCATAATTTAAGGCACAAATGGGCTGAATAGAACCATCAACATTCTGTAACCTAGCTGGATGGCTGACTCATAGTCATATGAAAGACGCTGTCACTGTTCAAATGTACCACAGGGAGAGGCAAGTGGTTTGAAGTCAATGACCTTAACCACTTGGCCAAGGACTTCCCAACTTTGATTCTAACAGTATTAAATGCCTACATTAATGATTATGATAATAAATGTCTGTATTAGTCATTACCTGTTAACAATATCTCTCTGGTACTCAAAATGTAGTCTAGTCCTTTCTATAAGTTCTAACGTGTTTTTCTGCCTTAGACTTTGAAACACGGCACCATTCAAATTTGACCAATTCTTAAACATTTCTTCAGCCCTCAAACTAAAAGTTCGCCAAATTTCTTGAAAATTTTCATCATTTGATGAATACATTTTGCCGTTGACAACAAATAATAGAATTCTAAGCATTGTAGACTCTAAAATCGGGTATAGGTCACATGTCCCTTTGTGGGCAAGTAGCTGAACAGTTACTGTACGGGCCTCTCTGCTTATTGCGCCCTCGATAAGTTCTGAGCAACACAGCTTGTCAAGACTATGAAGTACAAAGTCCTTCTTTATTTTATACTTCATGTTTAACTCTGAAAAAATGATACCTGCAAAAGAAATAAATTTCTTAATTCTTTCCTAGTGGCACTGACACTGTAAAAATGAGATGACAATTTTCCAACAATGAGCTATTTAAATGAACATTACCCAGGGGGCAGACTACAAATCATGTTATTCCCTTATATCATCAGCCTGTGCATTTTAATATTACAATGTGGCCATACCACGTGACTTTTCGGGTACGGAACACGCCGATTTTTCCCCCGATTCAGGTATGTTTTTATTCACAACTTATTTATTACTCAACCGATTTTGATCAGATAAGGCGCAGAGTACCCGTAATTATATCAGCTATCCACGGTATATCAAAATTCTGAAAACCCCTGAATGGTTTTTGAGAACATTCGAGTACAGTTTTCTTTTCATAGCCTGGGCCGAGGGGAACGGTACACACTCATTTGTCATAACAAGCAATTTCTAGCAAGTCATATGTTTTTTGACACTATTTCATAGAAAAATACATGTTAAATCTGATATATTTACTATGTCCAATGTATCGAGTGAATGTAGTGATGTTTTAGCACATTTTCATAAAGTTATGTTGAAATGATACGGAACACACTGTTATTTCAAAAGATACGGTACACACACAATTTCTGTCTTTGTAATAATTCTAAAATAAAATATATCAAAATTTAATTTAAATTATAATGTGAGTGATTTTTTTCATAGTTATACATTTTATTAATTTAAACGAGAACCCAGGGACCTGTTTTGCAATGTATCATAATGCTTCCCAAACCAAAATCGCAAGCTAACATTGCAAGCTTGTCACAAGCTTGCTGCAAGCTTATGTTGCAAGCTTGCTACTGGCTAGTAATTGGAACCTTGCGGCAAGCTTGCGATCAGTTATTTAAAAAAAATCTGACTGCAAACTAGTTAATATTTAAGCTTGCGCAAGCTTAATCGCAAGCTTGCGCATGCTTATTAGCAAGCTTGCGCAAGCTTATTTGCAAGCTTGCGCAGGTTTATCCGCAAGCCTGCACAGGCTAAGGCGCAAGCTTGTGCATGTATAACTACAAGCTTAATGTATAAGCTTGCGCAAGCTTGCAAAAACTGTAAACCCTATTTGGAAAGGGAGCTGCTACGTATACGAACAGTCTCTGAATCCTATGTAACATGCAAAAAAAAAAAAAGGCATTAATTACCATGATAAACTTATTTAATCATAAATTGTAAAAAGAAGCTGATGTAAAATGTTTTATTTGCTACACTAATGTTTTCTTCCAATTAAAAAAAAAAATAGCAAAGAATAAAAACATACATCAATCATTACAAAGTACATGTAAGTAAATTTAATACATATCCTTTAGTCCAAATACAGACTAGAACACCCTACATTCACTATAACACAAACAGTTTTTTTCTAGCTGCAGGTTTTGGTAGGTTCTTGTTTTCTTAGAATCCAACAATTTGTTTTAAGCAATTATTTTGCTCCTAGTCTGTCAGTGACAAACTATTCAATCTTAAATTTGTTTTAAATGTTTCTGATTACTTAAATTACTATTTCTTTTATCGATGTCCATTTTTAGTCCTCTGCCTGTGTTTCCTAGAACTTCTTATGGTTGTGCTCACCTTTAAAGATAAAATTCATAATTAATTAAACACAGATGAGGTAATGAATTATGTTTTATTGCATATATGCAGTTATATTTCATATCTTTTAATAACATCAAATCTAATGTTTCAACAGTATTAACTATTAAATATTAACTATGCTTATGCATTTTCAAAAAATACTAAAGCAATGCAGTATATCTTATTTCAATATGCACAAATGTTTAAGAATTTCTCTGTATAAGAAGTAAATTTGTGACAATATTTATTACCCAGTATGTATTTTTTCAAGAAAAGATGTGGAATAGAAAAGTATTGAGATTTAAAAATATACCTTTTCAGGATTAATACTGCACATCATTATTAAACACTGCCGGTAATTCTCACAGTCAGCACTTATGTCCCAGCCTGCAAATTATGTATGTATAATGTAAAATATGATTTTAGATTATTCCATTGAAAACACAACACATACATGTAAAATAACAAATGATTATGATGACCCTGTTCAGCTGTACAAAACTACTGATTGTACCATTTGTGTCCTATTTAATCAAATTTATTTAATTTTTTTAATTTGCAGGAAATGAAAAAGATCTACTAACATGCCATTTAAAGAATATACACAATCATTATAAAGAAATCATTGAATAATTTATATTTTACAGATTATACATGTATAGATTAAAAACAATTATCAGAAAAATAAATGCATGAAGTTGAAAATATAAAAACAACCTTGATCTCTTGTTACAAATGTTGATAGTTTGATATATAACCTGTTTCTGCATTAATGTAACTTAAGGTTTATAAATACCTGATTCTGTTGTATATCTTCTTGTCCCAGGTGATTCTGATTGTTATCATACCAATACTAAACACTTTAAAATCTTAAACAAAACAATATCTCCAAAACTGCTAAATATCTGTAATGATATTGAGTTATTTTATATTCATATGACCTTTAACCTTAATACTCATTTCTGTAAATTTCCACTGACCACGTTGTGCCTGTAGAATGTTATATCTTGGGGAATTTCCCGCCAATGCATTAGTCCAGATAATAAAACTGACTAGAACACACTTGTGTCTCTTCTCTTATTATATTCACATTTGTGAATCGCATTGACCAACTTTAATAGTATATAAGATATTCAAAGAATATTACATGGTGTCAGAATTTATAGTTGGAATTATAAGATAACAAAATATGGAATTAACAGGACTTTCTGTGCCAGTTATAAACTGGGAAGCGTCAAATCTTCCTGAACAATGGATTAAATTCCAAAGGCATGTGGAACTGATGTTTACAGGGCCGCTCAAGAACAAAACTAAGAAAGAAAAAATATCATATTTGTTGATCTGGGTCGGTGACAAGGGCAGGGACATTCACGCTACATGGGAACCCTTCACTGGCGATGATGCTGAAAATCTTCAGAGTTATTATGATAAGTTCAAGGCACATGTGCAGCCGTCCTTGAACCCGATATTTGCGAGGTACAAGTTTAACAATGAAGTGCAAGGCACTGACAGTATTGATGCCTTCATCACAAGACTAAGACTAAGTGCAGCAGATTGCAGCTTTAAAGACAAGGACGAAATGATCAGAGACAGAATTGTTTTTGGGACAAATTCTGGAAAAGTACGAGAGAAGTTGATAAACAAAGGCGAGGGATTAACACTCGAAAATGCTATTCAAATCGCACAAGCACACGAATATGCACAGAAACAACTTCAATCAATGGCAGCAGCTAATGATGTACACCTGGTTAAGCAGCACAAATCAAAACATAAAGGATACAAGAACCAACCATTTCAACAACCTAAACAACAACAACAACAAAGACATTATCATAACACTCACAAACAAGATGGAAGAAAACCACTGTACTGTCAACGATGTGGACAGAACACTCATAGACCAGGGTCAAAATGTCCAGCTGAACATTCAACGTGTTACGCATGTGGAAAGCAAAATCATTTTGCAAGCGTTTGCAGATCTAGAAATAAAAACGTTGACAATGTGAAGTATTCTGAATACAATTATAGTGACAACGTTCAATCGGAAAATCAGGATTATTACGTTGATATGGTAAAATTTTCATCTTCTACTCCTGATCGTGCCTTTGTACCAATTAATGTCGGTCCTTCCCATATTCCTGTTAAATTTAAGATAGATACTGGGAGTGCGGTAGATATTCTACCATTGAGCCATTATGAGAAATTAAAGATAAAACAACCTCTTGAAATCGCAGAAAATAGATTAACATCGTACACAGGCAACATGTTACCTGTATGCGGTATAATAAATCTGCAATTGCGCTACAACAACAAGACTAGCGAGTCATTATGTTATGTTGTTGATAGTCCGACAGTCCCGCTGCTAAGTTTACAATCGTCTGTAAACTTAGGCCTGATAAAGCTCACCTATTCAATAGACAGGTCAAATACAGAATTAGATAAACAAAGGGTCATGTCAGAGTATGGGAACTTATTCCAAGGTGTAGGGGTTATTCCAGGTGAATGTACACTTCACATTAAGAGTGATGCTGTTCCTGTAATAAACGCACCTAGGCGAGTGCCGGAAGCTTTAAGGGACAGGCTTCACGAAGAACTCCAGCGCATGGAGAATGATGGAATAATAACTAAGGTCACTGAACCCACGGACTGGGTAAACTCCCTAGTCATTGTAGAAAAACCAAAGACAGGTAAACTCAGAGTTTGCCTTGATCCAAAAGCTTTAAATGAGGCTATAAGGCGACCTCACTACCCAATGCGTACTATTGACGACGTTACATCAAGACTGACTGATGCAAAATACTTCAGCATTCTTGACATTACACACGCATACTGGAGCATCAAACTTGATGAACAGTCTTCATTATTAACAACCTTCAGCACGGTATTCGGCAGATACCGTTGGTTAAGACTCCCATATGGCATATCTGCATCGAGTGACATATTCATGCAGAAAGTAGATGAAATTTTTGAAGGATTGCAGGGTCTAACAGCCATAGTAGATGACATTTTGATATATGGGAAGACACGTGAAGAACATGACGCAAACTTGCGTAACGCCCTTGAAAGAGCACATTCCAAGGGAGTAAAGTTCAATCCGGAAAAATGTATAATCGGGGTAAATGAAGTCCCATTCTTTGGTCACCTTATAACATCAACAGGGTTAAAGCCAGATCCTAGTAAAATAGAGGCAATTATGAACCTCAAAATACCAGAAAATAGACAGCAACTTGAAAATGTTCTTGGTATGGCAAATTATCTGCAAAAAATTCTCTCCAAACCTAGCAGAGGTCACAAGCCCCATGAGATCCCTACTAAAGAAAGATGTAGAATTTGTTTGGGATTTTTCCCAGACAGAAGCATTTACGAAAATGAAAAACATAATCACAAGTACCCCTGTTCTTGCATACTT